GAAAAAAAATTGACTCAGCATCACCACAAAACAAAAATCTTGTGCATATGTTTGTATAAATGTAGAAAACATTCAGGATAGTGACTGTCAAAAGTATTAGGGATTACATTCATAATGCTTTGCTTTGCTTAGCCTTCCTTACTCTCTCAACCCATTACATCCTGAAATCAGTTTGCACATTCTCCAGAATGTTCTTCATACATTTCCTACGGTTCTGACAAGGAGAATTTGTTCAACAATCAAGAGCTTCTTTAGTTGGTGATCATTTCCTTGATTCTCATGGCCTTAATGTTTGCTTCTGGGGTGATATTGTAAGGAGAAATTAGATGCTAGTCACTCTAAAGAGTTGAAGGTTTAACCAATCAGATACAAACTAAAACCATCCTTGACTTGGTGACTCAAATTTTCCTGTACCTTTTGCTAATTTTCACTTTGAGTTCTTGTTAGGCCAAGTTTCCCTTGTTCTGATTAGCCCTTACAGTTAATTTGATCATAATTTGATCATAATTTGATCATTAATTCCTCATAAGAGGAATTTTTTAAAGCACATTTGAAGGCAGAACAAGGGAGCAAAGCATGAAGAAACACACAGCCATAATAAAGTGAAAATTGTTTCTGTAGTTAGCCCATATATCCTTACCTACATCCTATTCCCTTGGGTCCCACCACCAAGGTAACTTGCTTATCATCAGGACCTGCCACAAATCTGGGCTCATCTCTGAAATCTCCTTCTTTGATCAGATAATCCTAGAAAAAAATTCAGCCATTTTGCTTCACTTATTCAAGGCAACCAAAAATAATGTCCTGGATACTTTACTTTCCTCTTTCCATAATCACATGATCATCTTGTTTTGGCAAATCACAAGGTGATACAAATTTAATTTTGAATGCTCCCATCTTGAAAAAAATTCAGCAAATGTAACTTAGCAGCGCATCCATGATGTTCACACTTTTGAAACCAAGGGGGGCTGAACCAAAACCATAACACACAGTTTACAAACAGCTGCTGGTGCACTCATTGCAAAAAATTATTCTTAGAGTTCAGAATTTTGTGTTGCTCCTATTTGTTCAAAGAGATTTGCCAAGAGATGATAAAAAGTGGTTTAGCACTCTGTTACTTCAAATTAAGGTAATCATCCAGGTTGCCATGCAAAGTTCAATTTGTTCCACCAATGGAGATTTCCTTCAGAGTTATGCACAAAAAAATGAGACTTTTTTTGGCGTTTGCAGCAAAAATGTTTTTATATGTGAAAATATTAGATTTAAGAAAAATGATGCTTGGATTTGCTAACCAGTAAATCAGGATGATAATAAACATTCTCTTTTCCTTCTGCAGTCTCCCAAGTAATAATATCATGTCTGTTGAAAAATTAAAATAATTTTTAAATGACATTTAAGAACACAAAACCTACATTAATCTATCAACAATTGGCTTAAATTTATCATAAACTGAAAGGAAAATTCAAACAAAAAGGAGGGTCACTATTAACTTACATCTTACAGGGAACTTTTCCTGTAGCTGTTAAGCAGAAGAAAATTGAATTATTAATCATCACCCTTGATGCAGTTGTATGCATATGTGCAGCATAATGGAGATATCTAAGTCCCTCACTAGGATATAAACCTCAGACCTTTAGATTTCACAATTTGATGCTATACCAATAAGTGCTCCTCAAAGTTTCAAGACAACCTGGAATGCACACATGTACTGGGTTGATCAGTATTATCCAAAGCCAAGTTTGTGCAAGTAGATCAAAGATGACTAGAAATTTTGAACCTAGGGCTGGTGCTTGGTAATGGAAAATTCATTTGTTACGGGTGAAAAACACGGTATCAACACTACATACTCACTTCTTACTTTCAGGAGAAGATTATTGTGTGACCTTAAGATGTTGACTACCTCTCCATGTGTGGCTTCCCCAAGGTACAATCCATTAATACTTAAAATCTCATCACCAGCCTGCAAGAAAAATTCAACAAATAATGTACAAATTAACACCGAAAATTAACTTGGTTTCTGTTTTATCTTTAGTTCAAGTCACATTTCTATATATATTTTTCTTGAAACAAAGCAAAATATTAATCAAACTAGTTTGGAAATATTTTATGTCCTGAAGTCACAGAGTTGAAACTAAAACTGCTACATGTATATACACTACCAAGTTTCTAAATGGAAACAAAATACAGCTATGCAAACTTAAAGCCTTGAATGAGACAATTTCCTTTTCTAAAATAATTATATGACCAGCAAGAAACATGTCAAGTTTCATTTGATGCTGATACAGAACTGATATGTTATAATCATGGAATGATGTAGTGTGGAATGTGATACAAACACATTGTATGTACAGCTACACATAAAAATATGCCATAGGTCTGCATGTAAATGAAACTGTGAGTACCTTTAAACCAACAATGTCTGCTTGTGAACCCCGTGAAACAAGGGACACAAAGATTCCAACCCCATGCTCTCTACCTGCAGAATAATTTGAAAAAAATTATGACATAATTTTTTACTAAATACATTTCAGGTACTGCCCATGTCTTAACAAGCCCCCAATCTCAAAAAGCCCACCACTCTTCCTCCCCTTGAACAAAAAAAATTTAAGTACAGGCTGTACACCTGCAATGAAGGTAGCAAATCGAAATAAAATATTTTTGTATTTCAAAGCCTTTATTTGTTTCCAATTTAAATGTTAAAGGTTTCTCAAACTTACACAGAAATGTGCACAGATGCATTATAGTCAGGACAGTCAGAATATAAATAACATCTTACATTTAATCCAATATTTCTTTTTCTATATGGTGGAAGAGAGCCCCAAAGGTGAACTATACAATTTTAAAAGTATGTATTCTTGTATATATATGTACAATCATGTATATGCCCCCTTCTCAGAAAAGTTCCTCTCTTTACAACTGAACCCCCATAAAAATTAATACAGTTCCCTCCATTTAAGGACATATTGGAGTACTGGGTCAGTAATAATCACTAGTGTTTTTATGGTTATCATTTTGTGTCCTCAGTCAATTACAAGTACAGTGTGTGAATGGTTACCTCCTCGAACACTGAGTCCAATAGCATTATTTCCAACGTGCTGCAGCTTGATAAGACGTATTCCATCACTGAAATAAAATTACAATTAAAAACTGTGATATCTATGATCAGATAAAAGAAATATGTACAGTTTATGTTCTCATAAATATTTAAACTACTCTGAGATTGTTGCAGCAGCAGCAACCATATGGTGACTTATTCTCGTACTAAGATCAATATTTTGATTGAGACAATGGTCACAAATTTCCAATCTAAACTTGGTATAGTTCTAAAAGTTTGCAAGAATTCAACAAAGTGCAACATTAATTGATAACACTTTTTGAACTAAACCCCTCTCTTGATGCACAAAAAATTTTTCAGTTTTTATGGATTTTTTTTTGCTTTTTGAACAATTTCTGAGGCTGCCTGGTTACAGACTGACAATTTTGCAAAAAAAAAACTACAGGAACAACCATGAACATGAACACACATCAGGAGTACAGGATAACCACATGTAATTCAATTATTTAATGTAGAATTTTGTTTAATTCAAATCATACACCTTGGTGACTTTGGAATCAAATTCTGGTAAGTAGTAGCATCTGCTGGGTTAATCACATGCCTGCAGTGTATAATAAACATAAAATAATGATTATTAAGACATACCTGTAAGTATAATTACTGGTACACTATATATCAGCTACATTACATGTACAAGTGAATGCAAGCTTCCACAATAATTATTAACCAAATAATTTGTGCACTGAACCGCTTATGGGGGAAAAAGGAGTCATTTTATTAGCCTCTAATACCACTAACCCAAACCTGAGGGACCAGGGACTCTCTATTGTTTAACTGTCAGGCTGATTCTGACTGTCTGTGATGAAGTGATTGCTTAACTGACTTACTGACTGACTGGCTTTTAACTATGTTGCTGAATCAAACAAACCAACAAGATGACCACATGAATGACTGATTGACAGACCGACTGATAAAAAAAAAAACCTTACCTCACTTCTCTGAAGAGTGGGTACCTCTTGGGAGTATTAATCACAGACCTTAGTTCACTAACAAGTTTTGCAGGTGAGTTTGACCTAACAAAATATTTGACATTTGAATACGTGTACTAAACTGTGGTACTGAATTACCTTTACCAAAATCTCGTGATTTATGTACCTCATTTCAACTGAAAACTTTTACATTGCTAATTTTGTTGTTCCAGAAATTGCATCGCTAGATATAACCACGCTCTTCCAAATCTGCGCTTTCCTCGTGTTTTAGGGCAAGATCTTCGCACAACCCAAAATAAGCTCTTTGACAAAAGTAAGCATGGCGAAAAAAATTACAACCTTTCGGACTAATGCTTTGTTTTAGAATAGAAAGGGGGTTACAAGGAATTCTATAATGCTTTGGCACAGCTCTAGCTTTACATGCATTAAACAATTTCCCTTCTTCCAAGGTAGGTAAACTTAGTTTACTGTTGTATCAAAGCAACAGCGATGTAAAATGTTCTTTGAAACTTACGCCTGGTATCCCTTCAGGGCTTCATAAAATGAAACTCTCTCTTCCTCATTCTCAATTAAGACTCTAACCTAAAGAGATAAGTGGCACTGTGAGCTTTCAGAACAGTAATGCACAATTCAAGGTTTTATTCCGAACTAAGATGGCCTCTATCAACTTCACAGCTGGCCAACAGTTCCCTAAAAAGAGAGTTCGCTGGTTTCTTTTTTACCTTATTTTTAAATTCTGTAGCATGTTTAGACAAAGTGAATAGATTCTCCTGCTCAAATCCTCGTCTCATTTTTCTCTAACATGACAAAAATTGCTGACAACAGATGTAGCTTCGATAATAATGTCTGAGGACCAAAACAAAGTTTTACCAACGCTGCAGGAGAGGTAGCAGAAGACTGGTACTAATAACTATGTTTTGAAGGCTTCGGGTCAAAGCGGTCAGCGATTTCTGCGGTGATGCATGACGTCATCATGCTTTCGTTTTGGCTCGGCCGTTCAGAACATTTGAAATGCGTTGTTTAGAATCGAATTTTACGACATTCTAACGTAATTAGAACACTTGCGATGGATGTAGACTGCGAATTAGATGGCGATCTTTTAACGAAATTTAGTTGTTTAGGGACCACGGATCACGATGTTCTAATTAATGAACTTCAAAGACTGTTGGATTTTCAACTCAATCCGTCGGGGTGCGCTTTCTTCCTCGATATGACAAACTGGTAAATATAAATTGCTTTATTTTCGTTTTCAGGCCTTCTCTTCTGTGGGTGTTTATTTACTTTGTTTAAATTTAATCTGCTGGAAAAATCGTGACGCTAATCAATGGCTTTGTTTTTCCGTCATGACTGTTTGCCTGTCTCAAGGAATCTCCAGGTAAGATTATGTATATTTATTTAAGTGTTGTATTACAGATTGGATTGGGTAACTTGTATTCATTCAAAAGACATTCGATTTCTTTCGTTTCTCATGGTCAAACCTTCCAATTTTCTCTAATGAGTCTTTTGCGCCGGTGCGTTTTTGTCTTTTTCTTTTTGAACATTCTTATATGATTTAACGTTATTGTACAATTTCAAATTTTAATTGTTATGGTTGGGATTCACTCCTGTTATCCTTTACTGGTGTTGAATTGTGGTATTCAGCGGGCATTTTATGTTCGTGCGGCATATTTGTGGTCACCTAAGGTGTAGGTTGGATATTATGAATGTACAGTACATAACGAATTATTTAATGCCTTCTGTAAGCTTCAACCCCAAAGTTTCACTAACAGATACTCGCATATTTCTTTAATGGCTGGTTTAGAAAATTTGGAGTTAGACCACAATTTAAATATTCCAATTCTCATCAACTATCGGCACTATTTGACTTTTTATCAAAATTACATTAAATATTCAGATCACTCAAAGATTGAAAGGATATTACACTTTACCATTGTGTAGGAACTATTCTGGTAGATTTTAGGATTTCATTTATTTCAGCTGCCTATTAATTATCAAGACAGAATTTCTCCTTACAATATATATATATATATATATAGGTAATAAGAAGAAAGTAAAAAAAAAATATATATATATATACATTATGAAGGAGACAAGTGATGGGAATGAATAAAAATATTAGTTGGAATCACTAGTTGATCCATTACTAAATTCTCCAAACTAACATTATAATAATTGTATCACAGATATTAAGGAGAATTACTAATGAGATCTTGGGAGTAGAGGGGTTAAGCTTTTGAATGTGCACATGTGTAATCAGTGAATGAGAAAACTAAACCCTTTCTCATTGTGTGACCAAATGTGAATTTCTCCTTACTCTATTGATATATTTTTTAAGCGGTTAGGTAATGAGAAGAAGTAAAATATTAACCAGGGGATATTATTTGATTTAGCACCAGTTATTAATCATTATGGCAAACAGTTTTTCATATCCTGGGAGTGAAAGGGTTAATTAATGAATGCAGTGTCATCATGACTCACTTAATTACATCTTGAACAACCAATGGAATAAACTTGACAAATGACAAAAGAATTTATGAGGAAAAGAACTCTCATAACAGTAGTCTCATGGTTATCTTAGAGATAATTATAGTAACAATGGCTCCTACTATACAACATTGCATCATGCACAAAATTCCAGTTTCACAACAACAAATAACTGTTACTATTTTTCTCACTAAACTCTTCATTCCCAGTTGTGCCAAAAAAAACTTTCACTATGCAGATTATTTCTTTCATAATTTAAGAATGATTTGTCCCACAAGCAGAGGTTTCCTTGAATGATATTTTGTGGTATCACTATTCAAATCACCTCAAATGTATTTTCTTTTTGCTTTTGTAGGCAGCAGTAGGGGCTTATTATGATTTTAACAGTCCTCAAGACAAACTACCAAGTATGGCATTCATTAGAGATGTGACAATTGGAGAGGGAGAGTCTGTTCCACCTAACACAGCCTTTGTGAAAACATGGAGAATTCAAAATAATGGTAAAAATCTAGAACTGTTTGTGTTTTATAGCCAGTGTTACCTTTAACTGGCAGCTTAAAAGGGTATGATTTTGTTCTGTTTTTCAGGAATTGGGAATAAGATTTTATGTTATTCTTAAACAGTTTAAAACATTATCTACAATAAAAGGCACCAACATCTGAACACAGATTTCTGATGTATAATTTGCTAACCATTAACAATCACATCTTCCAAGTTTAAGTCATATGCATAATGTAACTTAGAAGCTCACAGTGCTTGTTTTTCTTACAGGCATTATTGCATGGCCCAATGGAGTGTTTCTAAAATACACATCTGGTGACCAACTGGGTCCTGTAAATTTGGTTTCTGTTAAATCTTTGAGTGCTGGCGAATTTTATGACCTTAGTGTGAACATGATATCGCCTGCGAAAACAGGCATGTATCAGGGTCAGTGGAGGATGTGTACACCATCTGGACAGTATTTTGGGGGTAAGTAAATATACTGTCAAACTTCACCATGTGCAATACTTTCACAAGTCCCATAAACTTATGTGACAGAAGTGCAACTATGTATTATGTCCTCTGTTTTTTTGGTTTTTTGGTTTTTTTGGGTTTTTTTTTTGGTTTTTTTTTTTTTTTAAGTTGAAGTCTTCCTTACCTCCCAACCCCCTCCCCCTCCCTCTCCCCCCTTCTTTAAAAATAATTTTGTTTAATTGTGGAGACTGGATAAATGTACTTTTTATTTGAAATCTTTATGGGAGTCAACTTCATAAAACTCAAGGCATAATTTTTTTCACACAAGTTTGTGGCGTATATTATAGCTTATTCTTCTGGTCTTTTTTTTTCAAGTAACAAGCAAATTTTATCGAAGTTCCTAATTTAATCATTGTGAATTCAGCTCTGAATTGTTGCTGTGAACTTTCATGAGACAAAATTGCTGTGGACTTTTACTTTAAAGGGGCTTTTTAATCCTTCACACCATAACATCAGCATGTAAATTCTCCACACAGCTCTATATACATTTCCTATAGCAGTGACGAGGAGAATTAGCTCGAAAATCAAGATATTTTCAAGTTGGCAATTGTTTAATTATATAAATCCTTTACTTTCAAACTGCTTCTCTTCACGCAGGAGTATAAATGGGTATCTGCAAATTGTCAGGGAAGCCTGATAAAACACACAAGAGGGGCATCTTTGGGATAGACAAGCATCCCATCCATGGGGGGGGGGGAGAGGGGGGAGAGGAGAGAGTGGTGAAACTCCTAATCACTTCCTGCCAAGGAAACCAGGATTAGCTCTAACTAGGTGGGCTACTCGGCTTGAGTACAGACGTTACCTTACCATACATTTCATGCCAAGGAAACCAGGATTAGCTCTGACTAGGCAGGCTTCTTGGCTTGAGTGCAGACATTAACTTACAATACACTGATTTATTTTACTTTTAATTTTAATGTTTCAGATGTTATATGGGTCATTCTATGCGTGGATGAAGGAGGATTGTTAGGACTCACACAGCAGCTGTCATCATTAGGAAGGGAAATGAACTTTCATGAAGGATCCAACCCTTCATCAACCTCTGCTAATCCTTTTGGACTTTCAACACCTATCTCGATTTCCCCACAACCTATTTATTCTGTTCCCCATAACAGCCCAGCTAATGGGGTTATCCATGTTTCACCAGCTAGGAGATCACTTTTTAATTCCACGGTAAGTAAACATGAAATTGGACATTGCATTTCATTAATTTTTACAGTTGACTCAGGACTGTGAACTCAAACCCTCACCTACTAAAACTGCATGCAAACTTGAACCTGAGTTGATTTCACTCTGATAACTATCAAACTATCATCTTCGCAACAATTTCAGTGATCTTTTTTGCTGCCCTTGTTTGGTCCAATCATGCAATGTATCATCTCTCCTACCTCAAACCTTTGATGAGCTCAACTTCCCACTTTCTGATTTTCTGGAAGAGTCCAGACCAATGGCTAAAAAGTTGTTTTTAACCCCAGCTGTTGTGAAATACAATTACAATATTTTTTCAATTAAGCAACCTTGGGGAGGAGAAGGAGAGGGAGGAGAAGGGAAGGTGTCTATTAACTTTTCCTACTTAGAAGGTGGGTGCTTATTGAAGGTTGGACACCTACTGGTAATCAGATAATTACAGTATATGTCTTAATTTGCAACTGCAACTGGCTAAGAAATAGGATTAAACAGTTGGAAATAAGTAAGCAGCATTTTTATTGTGGGCTCCTTTTCTCATAGGTCAGTGGAGAGAATCTAGAACCTCTCATCTCACCTAGTATACAAGTTGGATCAGTGTTCCATAGCAAAGAAGAGGAAAGTTTAGTGAATCAATTAAAGGATACATCTCTATTACAAGACTCAGATATAGATCATTCATAACAATTACATGGGTGTTTGTGATTTTGAACAATTGTGGGTTCTGTCCAGTGGTGGAATTTGCCATGGTGACAACACTGTAGACATTCAAGGAGTACTAAATTAAATTCTTACTTTGATATTTGCTCGCCCAAATTTTGGCAATTATTCAAAGGTTGTGAACAGATTTTTTTTTAAACTGACAGCTGAAAAGTCATGATATACATGTAATACTCTAAACAGGAATATTTTACCAGACCTTAGTTTGGTAATTCGACACAATTTATGTAATCGACCTGACATGATTAATTTGGCTCAGTGTTGTTTCAGCCAAGAGAACAAAGGTACCTTATCTAATAAGCACATGCTTTTTGTATCCCTTAAACTCCCAATAGTGATGAATACGAAACTTCTCCCCCTGACATCCATACAGTATCCATTTAACAGGTAATGAGAATACTCAGATTCATGAGTTAGAAGGTGTTTTCTTGATCTAACACCAAATTCCTGTCACTAATTTACAACAAAACGTGTATCAGACAGAGGGTGAATTAACAATTAGATCTTGGGAGTTTTGGGGGGGGAGGGGGGGTAATGCAAGGCTGGGAACAGAACAAGATTACTACAACTCGTGGCACACTTTGACATCAACCAGGTGATTGGACAGTTCCCGTGGTTCTGGTCTTTTAACCTTTTGACCCCTAAGACTGACTAACATCTAATTTCTCCTTACAATATCATCCCTGAATCAAACATTAAGGTAACAAGAATAACGAAAGTGATCATCAACCAAAGATACTCTTGATTGTCTTATAAATTCTCCTTGACAGCACCTTAGGAATATTTTGAAGAACAGTGAGGAGAATATACATGCTGATGTTAGGATGTTGTGGGTTTAACTAAAAAGCACAGACGAAAAAGTCTTTTTCCCATGGGTAGCCTGCCCCCTTCTTTCCCCCCCCCCCCCAAATCCAGGGTCAAACCATTGCTGGGTACATTACTAGGAAGCCTCAGCTCAAATTTGACACTTTGCAGCTTAAATGCCATTGAATAATTAAGCCTTCCAGTCACAAAGTAATTTTTTTGCATTATTAATTATTTACTTCAGCCCATATTTTTAAATTTGCACGTATTATTCAGTAGGGGCTTTAACTTAGATGGTTTTTAAATTAAACAATTGTAGTCTTAGCTTGCCATATGTAACTTAATGTAATTATCTCGAGGTAGATGTTTTATGAATAACATGGTCACCATGTTTTAACGTTCAAAGGGACTGGTCATTATTTATTACCTGTTGAGTGGGGGGGAAGAAAGGATTTTAAATGATTAATGATCGTTAAATGATGACTGCTCCTTAAAAACTAATTTTTTTTTGTAAAAATAAAGTTGTTAGTCGTAATTAGGTTTATTTATGGTACACATGTTGCACTTGTGTAAACGAAGCACCTCTCGTTGTTTACAGTGTCATGAATTTTTGGTAAACACGGTGGAAAACCCACAATAATCCAAATTAATCGTTATGGTATCTCGAATTTTAAATCATGTTTTGGTGAGCTTCTTGAAGATAGCAGCAAGTTTGATTTTCAGAACCAATAATCACAAAATTATACAATCTGTTCAACCTTATTGATCCGTGTCATGTCATTTTTTTCTCCTGCCCCTCAAATACTGTGAGATTTACATTTACAGAAAGAAAAGTCCCTTTACAGAAGGGACTTTACTTTTTTGAACCATCGATGATGCAAATTTACTGAAGCAATAGACCGAACTTTTAATCGGGTCACCGGCATTAATAACTCACGCAGGATGTCGGAAGAACACGAAAAAGTTTGTCATTCACTTGCCTTCGGCTCGTGTTCTCCCAACATCCCAAATGGGTTATTACGCCGGTAAACCGATAGAAAGAGCTGTCCCTTGCTTTCATAAAGTAAAATTGAAATGTTTCAATTTCCTATGGGTTACCCAGTGCAATAAACGATAGGTTGTCGACTAATCAGGGCATTGTTAGCACCTCGGTTATTTAAAATGTTTGATCCGCCACACTTCCGTTGCATTATTTTTCATCATTGGTTTTGTTAGATTGTATTTTTAATTTTGAATAATGAGTTAAGTTACCTCTACCTATATCTTGAAGTAATTTTCCTCTCCTCTAACATGCCTTGTTTAACCTTTTTTCTGGCTTAGTTTGAATTAATAACGATAGCGATAACTTCTGGAAACTTTTTTAGATACCCTTCATAGAGTTATCTTTGTTATACTGATAACACTTGTTTGTAAATTGTGATTGAGGAGGAGTTTCATATTGTATTGTGTCACTGGCAAAGTTGAAGCGATCATTTCAAGTGTTGATTTGGTCTGACAATTCTACGTTTTTTGAATTTCAATTCCTCTCGCGAAAATGGACGGCTTATACTACAATTGGAATAAATTGATGGTCATGGTTTTAAAAAAAAAAAACTGAAAGAAAACATTGAAAGTCTGCTGACTTCCTCATTTCGCCTTGGTTCAAAGCAATTTTCTGCAGTACTAAGCGGGTTTGTGAGCTAAAAATTTCGAATACCTGTTAATTTGTTTCATACTTAAAATTTTATTACTATAATTAGAGAGAAGCAAATTGCACTCTTCTGATAAGACATGCTACAAAGTTAATCAAAAAAGCCAGCTCAGTTTTCGCATGTTAGATTTAATGTTGTCAGTGATAACTCTTTGCGGCCTGGCATGAAAGGGGCAATGTTTCTCTAGATTCCATCGGAAAGAACTTTAGTATTGGAGACTTTGCAAATACTATAAATAGTACTCTTAATATTGAGTTTGGCCAAACCCCTGCTGGTCTCAATGTCTAAGTTACTTAATCCAACTTTGAAAGAGCCTCTGTCATTTGAATTTGATCACTGTGTCACGAAATGGCTGTTGATTTTCAAGCGTCTGTGTGATGAACGTTTGTACACGGTTTTTCATGTGATCGTTTTGTATTTGTTTCGTGCCTCTTGGCTAGTTGATCCGGTGTAGTGAACTTGAAATTAAACAATGCCCAGAAAAGGAGATATGGTTGAAATAAGTCTTGAATACTAAAATAAGTTATCCATCACGCTAGAGAAAAGAAGCAACTTACAAGAAATTTCTGGGCGTTATTAACATAGCTGGCATAGTAGGCGTTTGACCCTGCATCCAGACGTTGACTCTGTTTGAAACAAAATATGATAACAGAAAGGGTCAAAAATAGACATACTTGCGGCCATCTGGCCAAAAGTGAAATTTTTCTACTCGAAACCGTAGTTTATTATATTTCATTCATAGTTGAGGAAATGATGTTGCCTTATCATCGCTTACCTGATAATATGTTTATCAGATGCATTCCTATGATTAAGTTTAGAGCAAATTTACGGACAAAGACTGAAAGAGGCGGAGATTCCTTGAATTGTTTCGAAGACTACTCGTGTCTAAGTATGTATCGAGGTAATAGTCTAACAAAAAAAAGGTTAATCTTGATCGGTAAATTGTCTCGTAAATCTTGATCTGAATTGACCTCATGTCGCTTATGTTAACAGAAGTTTAGCCAATTCGTTGTAGGGAGCATTTCCGAACACTTGACCAAAAAAAGCCAAAAGAGGTACTTGGTGCATGCCGTTACAGAATGGCGCGTTCCCATTGGCCTGATCACCCATGCGAAACATCAACAATAATCCATTTCAAGTAAGCATTTCAGCAGCGCTTTTCAATATCTAGGTGTGTTTACAAAGTCACTGCATCAGTGTCAGACAACAAACTCTTGGCATTTGGCTCCGTTCGCGACAACACAAGACAGAAAATCTTCGCGCAAACTGTTCGACTTTAAAAGGCATGGATCCTGTGAACGGAGATGTGAATATCGCCGCGGTGAACCACACAGATGATTCCAGAAACGGAGAAGTAGATGATCCACAACTTGTGGCGGTGAAAAGTGCTAGTTATTGGGAAGAGGTTGACAAAGAAGAGATCGAACGCGAACGAACGTAAGTTCTAAAAATTGTAAATGAAATGTAAAGGCGATTTCGTCACCTATCGCTATTGGATAGAACTTCGCGTTTTTCTGAACGGGATGGCTATATAAATGGTTAATCTTAAAAATTCATGTGATGTAAATCATGTGCTCCACCAGAGCATAGTCAAATTCTCCTAAATTTATTAATCGGAAAGATCGACCTTTTTGCGGCCTTAAAGTTTAAATGTAACTTTTATTACTTTTAATTTTAGTTTAGCGCTTTCGTTTGCAATTCTTTACGGCCTGTGGTTTGGGAAAATGCCCTTGTTCTAATGTTTGTTTGTACAGAGATAACTTTAGCTCTGGTGGATATTTTCGCATAATGTCTTTGCCCTTTGAACAACCGATCCAAAAGATACGAAATCGCGAAAGGACTGTTTTAGCCTGAAGCTTAATTCAGCGACAATCTTGAATATTTATGCATCTCTTAGCATTTACAATGGCCCTACTGGATGCAAAAGTATGTCTTTTTGTGCAAACAAACTAGAGTTAATTATTCCAAGCCTTGGTCTACCACCAAACTAACTTTTGTCCCTTAGAGGACTTTGAACATTAACTGGCAATGAAGAACTTGACCTGGTGGAAGAACAACTTACTACAACTTGCTCATCAAAATTATTTCAAGAAGTTTTTCAATGAAATATGAATGACCTCTGTTGGATGGAGCTCACTGCTTTTGTACCATGACAGATGGTAATTTTTAGCGAAAATCGTCACGCCATGATATTTTCTAACACTTCAGTAGATGACATTCCTCATAGCCAATAAAATTGCCGCATCTGAAGTCCCTTAATCTCGAGCCAATTAGTCCCAAATCGGGTAGTCAGCATACTGATTTGGGGGATTTGTGCGTATTGAGTTAAAACCCGTATAGTTTGAGTGTGTTCTCCCAATAAAAACAGCATTATCTGGGACTGAGACAAAATCAACATTTGTGTAAGATCAGTGATGTCAATAATGAAAATACAAGTGTGGGGTAATTTTGGCATACACTTCAGATAGGAATTACAGTGGTTTTAAGTGCTCCTTAATTTTTCAAAGAGACGTAACACAAAAGGAAACACTTTGAATAGCATAAATTTTTCCAAAGGGCCGGGGATGGACAAAAATTCTCGAACTTTCTATTTTACGAGTGGGACACTACATAAAAGAGAATCCGTGCGTGGCAAAGGAAATACTATATTTCACGCCGATTTTATTTTGGTAATCGGATGGAGTCTAAGTAAACACAGTTCGATCTGATCAAGGTGATATATACGTTAAGCATGACTAATTTAATTAAAATGCCAGCCTCGGGCATTATACATCGTAGATAATATCGAAATTACTTGCTTTTAAGCTCGTTTATTGCCTTACAGTATAGGTCGTCTGTCATCTGTAGATGACCCATTTGCCTCACCGCTTTGTCTTATTCACTAACCGCACAATATTCAAGAATCCTTTGACGGTGGCAAGCACACATAAAATTGTAGAGCCGATCTCAATTCCTATCCCAACTGAAGCAATATTTTCCATTCTTTGAAAATACCGTATTGATGCAGGGCCAAATTCGTTTAGCTCAGCTTCCTTTGTTTGTCTTGTTTGAAGTGGAAATCTAGGGGAAATCTCAAGAGACCCTTTCTTCGTTTCCTGAAAAACAAACTTATGTCAAGGGGTGTGTAAAGAAAAACTTGTCACACTTTGTTTTCATGATCAACAGTCAAGTTTGTTTTGCGGCAAAATTAACATTGCGTAGACACAGTAAAGTCAAAATCATCGAGTAGAGATCGTATAAACTGTTCTTTAGCGGCCCCATGCTCTGATTAAATTGTAAC